TATCCTCAAAACCCAAACCGCTAGGGTTAGGGCTTCTCTCTCTCTCTAAAAACCCAAAAAAAATAAAAAATAAAAATAAATCTAGGGTTAGGGTTGGGCTACTCGATGATCCGCCGCCGCAAAGCCCAGCCCGATCCCCCCAAACCCTCAGCCCCGCCTCCTCCGCCGCCGGAGAAGCCCAAGGACGGCGATGCTCCGGTTCCCAATAAGAAGACGAAGGAGAAGCGATGGAGCTGCGTCGACAGCTGCTGCTGGCTCATTGGCCTAATCTGCTCGATCTGGTGGTTCCTCCTCTTCCTCTACAACGCCATGCCGGCCTCGTTCCCTCAGTACGTCACCGAGGCGATAACGGGCCCGTTACCCGATCCTCCGGGGGTTAAATTGCAAAAGGAGGGCTTGACGGCGAAGCACCCGGTGGTTTTCGTGCCTGGGATTGTCACTGGGGGTCTGGAGTTGTGGGAGGGGCACCAATGCGCCGACGGATTGTTTCGAAAGCGGCTCTGGGGCGGGACTTTCGGCGAGGTCTATAAGAGGTAAGGGAGTTTTGTTTGATGATGAATTCGGTGATTTGTGGCTGAATTTTTGGGATTTAGTTGGGTTTTGAGCTAGTGATGAGTGTTTGGTGCTGACGGGTTGATTGTGATAGTAGTTAATTGAAGTTGTATGAAGTAGTGGTTAGCGATTCGGTTCTTGATTTCTAATTTTGGGATGGTGAGAGCGTGTTTCTTGCTTTGATTTTTTTGTTGGGGAAAAAAAGCTGAACTCTTGGGGTTTGTTTGCTTTAAGCTGATGGGTTGCTTAGAAAAGCACCTTAGTTAAGGGTATAAGAGGTAATGAGTTGATGAGTTGTGCTTTGTTTTAACTTGGGAGCTGGAAAAGATTGGGTTTTTATGAGAAAGGAGTGAACTTTTAGGATTAAGTAGTTGACTTTAAGCTACTGATGAGTGTTTGTTGAGGATGGATTTATTAGGAAAGTAATTAATTGAGGCTCTAAGAAGTAATGATTTAATGATTCATTTCTGGTCTCTAGTTTTGGGATGGTTTAATTAGGCGGGGAAGTTGAAAAGATTGTAGTCTTTTGAAGAAGGGCGGGGGGGCTGGGCGGGGGCATTAGCTTGCTGAATTATACTTTCGGGATTTAGTTGCTGTTATGCTATTGATAGGAATGGGTTGCTTTGGAGAAGGTCTTAACTTGAGGTTTATAAGAGGTAATGTTTGTTTGCTGTATTAAGATGGTCTATGATAAACAGAAAAACATATTGTTTTACATACTAAAAATAGTTTTTCTAAATGTATATATTTTTTGAATCACTGTGAATTCGTTCACTTTATCCGGGAGATTGCAGCGACTAGAAAATTGAATACATGGATGTAGAATTAGAGGAATTTTCATGAAGATTTAATTCTTCATTCTTTGGTATATTTGTTTACTGAGGGTTTGTCAAAAAAGAGTTTCTGGTAGTGAACACTTTTTGAGAGGTTTATAAGAATTAAGGTTGGGTTTCTCTTTTTACGGTTGATCTTGGTTGAGGTTGCTACTTAGAGGATGATCCATTGAGTCTCTTGGGTAGTCTTTGCCTACTAAGATTTGGTTGGTTTACTAGCGACTAGTGAGTGAAGTTTCTCTAGCAGTGTTTTTCATGGCTTATTCAACATGTAGTGGAACTATTTGTTCATAACATTTGGGCACTCAATTAAGAGAAATAACATTAATGAAGGATAATTTGAATCCTCTTTTAGTAGAAGTTGAATCTTCTTTATTGGTAATTAATTAAGGAAAATTTGAAGAGCTAGAAAGGGCGAACTGTTAAATTCTGGAGATACCCTATTGCATCGATTACACAGGAACCATTAGTGTCACACCTTGGGCCCGATAGCCTGTTGGCGCGATGTAAGCCTGGGGACCCATTGAGTGTAACGCATGATTTAGACTCAATTCACCGTGAAAAATGACTAGCAATTGTTGTAGTTGACTCCCATGAGTCCATGACCCATCATTTAAACCCATCCATTACTCTTACTATTGTGACAATCAACAGTAAGACTGTAAGAGGCAGTATTTAATCTATTGTGGTTTGTTTTGGGTATGCTGTTATCAGGTAAATTATTACTTTAATGAATAATGATTCGCAGAACATTTTTTTGGTGGAAATTGGGAAAGTAGAATTAATAATGATTTGCAGAACATTTTTTTGGCGCGATGTATCCATGCATGTGTGAGGCTCACGTGTATTGGCTGGTGCACATGCATGCGTTGGCATGTGTCCATCCGTGTCTGTGTGTATGCATGCGTGCATGAGTGTGATATGTTGCATGTGTCACGTTCTTTTCCTCTTTTCTTACTGGATGTGTATGTTTTGGGAGAGTGGGTATTACTTTCAGTACCAGTGGATTGATTAAAAAGAGATTAAGGTAATTGGAACCTTTTGATAGAGTCTGTTAGAAGTGCTACTTAACTCTGACTATCTATTTGCTTTAGAACTTCTCTGAAAGACTTTAATAATTGGTCAAATAGAAGAGGGGATTTAGTGGTCTTTCTTGCAGATGGATGAATGGGCGTTATTTTTTGTGATTGAACAGGAATTAGCACAAACCATGTCGGCCAACCGTGAAAATAGAAGTTTCTGTTTAAAGGTTTTGGCCCTTTTGAAGAGTTTCTATCTTCAGGTGGTCGTGTAACTTTGCTCTTCTAAACTTTAGTTTCAGAAATACTTCGCAGAACTTGATATGAAGAAGTCGTGACAGAAGAAAGTAAATATTCTCCTCTTCTTGGATCTTGAACTGTCAAAATTAGCTCAAGTTTTAGTGAATATGGCTCTTTACTGAAATGTATCTTTAAGGAATACAGACTGAACCTTTTTGTTATTCAGTTAAAACGTTTGTTGTGCCTAGTAAAAGTAAATTGTGAAATCTTAAACAATATCATAATGATATTGTTTTTCTCCGGTCTCTCTTGGTTTACTATAACTAGATTTTGTTAAGTATCTTTATCCTGTAATCTTAGAATGCTTCTTTCCCCTTGAAATTCCCAGTTTGTTATTTTGTAAATTAACAATGTATGAAAATTGGAGCTTATCTTTTACATCTATAAAAGATGAGTTGGCCTTCAGTTCTAAGTGCTTTTACTGCTTTTACTGAAATAAAGGGCACTGACAGGATTAACCCCTTTCATTTCCACTTCATCACCACGAACTATCCTACCTCAATCTCAAATTTCACCTTCTTAAGTCATAAACCAGCTACCCATGGAGAAATCACTGACCTGCCATCTTTGGAGTTTGGGGTGAAAGGAATGAGAGTATAGAAACATTGTGAACCACCGCTATTATTTGGCTGTAGAAGTAAATGTTAATGTTATAGAAAGCTTAGGTGCTAGACTGGTGTCTAGGTAGATTTCTTTCCTCATTTAAGTGGTGGTCGAAGAAGTTTTGCCGAAAGCGGAGGAAGTAGTGGAAATATTCATATTTGGAGGTTAAAATGAGTTTGAAGGAGGTTGGAGGACATATAGGCTGCAACACAGAAAATCACGATTAATGTCTAAAGGGTGCAATTCATGTAAGCAAATAATGCTCTCCTAAACACTCCCAACACCTAAGTGGGCAGCCTAGGTACCGCCTAGGCACTAGGCGCTAGTTAGGCGGCCTAGGTACCACTTAGGTCTAGATATACGCCTAGGCGAACTAGGCGGAGGCTTTTTAAAACAGTGTTAAGCTTTATAATTCATCTTTAATATTTGAGGAAGTTACATTTTAAATCTTCGCCTTTCGGCTAATACACATTTGTTGTAAATTTTAATCACTCCATGATTGTCCAAAATCTAATCAGTTTTTTATTATTTCTCTGCATTGATGGCTGCAGTCAGTAATATGCTGCTCAGTTTGTTGGTCATATTCTAATTGGGGCTAGTACTGGTCAAATTTTCAAGTAATTCCAGAAGGCAATCTTTAATTTTATTGCATGCTTGCTAAATTGACAATAATTTACACGCCTCAACAATTGTTAATAGTACAGTGGTTATTTGTAAAAAGAATATCTGAGAAGAAACTCATTGTTCCTGCCCCTATCTCTGAGTTCATAATACAAACTCTAATGCATCTTTGTTCCTTGTATTTGCTTAACTATATTTCTTAAATTTTCCAGACCTTTATGCTGGGTTGAGCATATGTCTCTTGACAATGAGACTGGACTGGATCCTGAAGGCATAAGAGTCAGGTCTGTCACAGGCCTTGTTGCGGCAGATTATTTTGCTCCTGGCTACTTTGTTTGGGCAGTGTTAATCGCTAATTTGGCTCGAATTGGGTATGAAGAAAAAACAATGTATATGGCTGCATATGATTGGAGAATCTCTTTTCAAAACACTGAGGTAGCTCTCTCTCTCTCTCTCTCTCTCTCTCTCTCTCTCTCTCATCCTACTTCATGATTATGTTCTTTCTTCTTCTTTTTTACCTTTCCTTTTTTTTGTTTGTACGATTATAGTTGCTTTCTTGTGCTTTTTGATTCACGCTCAACTAAATTGTATGTTGACAAACCTATTATGAACTGTTCTATGCAGGTAAGGGATCAAACCCTTAGCAGGATAAAGAGTAACATAGAACTAATGGTATCTACAAATGGTGGAAAGAAGGTTGTAGTCATTCCACATTCCATGGGAGTTCTGTACTTCCTGCATTTTATGAAGTGGGTTGAGGCACCTGCTCCAATGGGGGGTGGTGGTGATTCAGATTGGTGCGCAAAGCATATAAAAGCAGTGATGAATATTGGCGGGCCTTTCTTAGGTGTTCCTAAAGCAGTTGCAGGACTGTTCTCAGCTGAAGCAAAGGATGTTGCTGTTGCCAGGTTGGTTTCTATTGAATGGTTTGATGTTGCCAATTGTGCAAATGTGCAATTTTTATCCTTCTCCCTTCTTTCTGTACAAAGAGTAATGTACACCATCTTCTGCTGCTTTTACAACTTTGATGCATAACATTAAAATTTCTATATCAATCATGTAAAGTATGCTTGCTCTTTCAAAGAACATTACCCAGCATTATAGAATGATTAAAGCTACATCTCAATTATCAACCTTATTTTGTACCCAAGATAAATCAGGTGCTAGGCCATATAACCGATGGAAGTTTAAGGCAAACCATAAACAGGCAGTCTTTCACACTCCCTCAGATGGATCCATTGGGCTATTGGGAGACGTGACTTGCTGAAAGGTGATTTGCGTGGAAAGGAAGAACAATTGGAAATAGATATATTTCAAGTTGTTAATGACAAAGTTTGGACCCAAGACCTCTTGAAACATGCTGAATATCATATTAGGTAACATCTTAGGTCAAAAGCGTAAGTAGATGGTCGTAGGCTAACAATGTGTGCCAAACAATCCTTTCGTATCCTTTTAACTGCGAGGTGTTGTTTGGCAACTTGTCAAGTGAGGGATCAGAAGGATTATGTGATTATGCACTTCGTAACCTGCCAAACACCAAACATATATGAATTGAGAATAAGGGGTGAATTATCTTATTCACAAACACCAAAAAATGGTTAAGGTAATTGGTAATCCAGACAGGTTAAGAGGAGTTGGCCTCTCAAAATGAGGGATTGACTATTCTGACCCTCTTGATGGATTGCCAAATACCTGTTTATATAGAGAGGATTGACAACCTGCATAAATACCAACAAAAGCACAAGGTATAAAAATGACATGAGGCTGACCTTAGACTGGTTGACTGACTGAATTTTTTTTTCTTTTGAAATGAACTAGCTAGATTAACCCTTTCTTTAACTCTATTTCCTTTAGCTTTATGCTGAATTTATGAGAAACCTTTACTTGTTTTTAACGAATAAAGATAGATCTGTTGGTAGAACCGTAAAGGCAAATAGGCTTTGGGTTCCAGGTGCTCGAAGGTATATCAACTTCAATTTCTAGACATTTTGGGTTAAATTTCAACATTCCTCACAATCGTTTCTCGATTAACAATAATAACTGTTTTGATCATTTGGTAAGCAAATATTTTATAGCATGGATGATGATATTTTATGCTGATATATTTTTATTAATTATCTCATGATTCAGTATTTTCACTTTTATGTATCTGGAAAGGAAGTATTTCTTTACTATGTTCTTCCTAAACAGGGCGATTGCACCTGGTGTGCTTGACTCTGATTTCCTTGGACTTCAGACTTTGCGGCATCTTATGCGTATGACTAGGACATGGGATGCGACTATGTCAATGATTCCCAAAGGCGGTGATACAATTTGGGGTGGTCTAGATTGGTCACCAGAAGAAGATTATGTCTGTACGAAGAAACAGAAAAACAACGATTCTTATGCTTATCATGAAGTAAATAGTGGAAAATTGGACCAGTCACATACTGTAAATTATGGAAGACTTATTTCTTTCGGAAAAGATGTGGCAGAGATGCCTTCGTCCAAGATTGAACGAATAGATTTCCGGGTAAAATATTCTTGCCAACGGTCTTGTGATATTTTTGTCATGTACCTGAATTCATCTCTACTAATGATAATTTTTATAAGTTTATTTACATTTCCCCTTCTCTGTTTGAATGAATCATGCATTTTATGTTTGCATTTTGGCTATTTTAGGAGATATCCATAATATTTTTTATCCATCAATGACTTTGAAGACTATGTTGTGTAATACCAGACAACCTGAAATAAATTATATGAAGTGTCAACAAACAATGATTTTATGTTGAGTTCCTTGGTAAGAAGAGTAACTTGCCCTTCTGGCTAACATCCCTTCCACACAGTGCTAATACCTAGAAGGCCTAATTGTGATTTATGAAATATGAGGATTTTACCTGTGCTTAAAAGCTCCATGATATTTTTATCTAAGAAATAAAAAGCATTGCCCGTCAAGTGAATATGATAGACAATGTGTTTAAATTGTTAGAGATCTAATGGAAGATAACTTTGGTAGTAAAATGGGCAATATGCAGGCATGTTGTTTACGGAATGAGAAGTGCTGTCAACGGATATGCTAAATTTGTGCCAAACAGAGACAGTAGAAAATACAGGAGACTTACGTGCCCTCAACTACACCTTAAACGAAAGGCGCGTACACATGTATGTGTAGCTGTATTCTTAAAGGCCTAATTTCCCCCTTTTCTACCATAATGTCCTGGTCTATAGGACAAAATATGGCTTAGCATGTACGAGACATCATGATGAGGTTGATGCTATTCAAAATGTGAGGGACAGTGCTAAATGAATATATCTATGAGGATCAGGAGTTAACTCTACAGGTTTTGGACTATGTATTTATTGGATTCCCATTGCATGGTCATCGCCTGACTTCCTTGACGACCATAAGAAGATAAATATGAGAGCACTTGAACCTTTGATACGATGAACATAATTGTGATAATGCTTTCTTCTGCCAATGTTTTTGGGCTAATTCATTAAATTTTACAGGATGCCATTAAAGGTAACAACATTGCTCATTCAAGTGCATCATGTCGTGATACTTGGACAGAGTATCATGAACTGGGTTGGGGTGGAATAAAGGCTGTTGCTGATTACAAGGCCTATACCGCTGATTCTGTTTTGGATCTTCTTCATTTTGTTGCCCCAAAAATGATGCAACGTGGAAGTGCTCATTTTTCATACGGCATTGCGGAGAATTTGGATGATCCAAAATACCAGCATTACAAATATTGGTCGAATCCCTTGGAGACAAAGTAAGTTCTGTCTGTACCTATACAACTAAAATAACTTTGTTCTGATATCAGCCATGAAACTTTTTCATCAGTGATTGCTGTTCTAGAAACATATAAAATTGATTTTCTTCATGGAAGATTAGTTTTGCCTTCTATTTAACTGCCTAAATTTCCCCCCTTGTTGCAGATTACCTAATGCTCCCGATATGGAGATATATTCTATGTATGGAGTAGGGATTCCTACTGAAAGGTCATATGTCTACAAGTTATCTCCCTCATCTGAGTGCTATATCCCTTTTCAAATTGACGCATCTGCCGAAGGTGGAAATGACAATAACTGTTTGCATGGTGGGGTTTATTTGGTCGACGGAGATGAAACAGTGCCAGCACTTAGTGCAGGCTTCATGTCTGCAAAAGGTTGGAGGGGGAAAACACGGTTTAATCCTGCTGGTAGCAAGACTTATAATAGGGAATATGCTCATGCCCCTCCAGCTAATTTGTTGGAAGGCCGTGGTACTCAGAGCGGTGCACATGTTGATATTATGGGCAACTTTGCTTTGATTGAAGATATAATCAGAGTAGCAGCAGGAGCTACTGGAGAGGATTTGGGTGGTGATCAAGTTTACACAGATATATTCAAATGGTCAGACAAGATCAATATACAGCTATAGGTACACTCTTATTGAGATGAGATATTTAGTTATTTATTAATTCTTTGGGGTTAACCTGACCATGAACTTTCAAAATTATACTAAACCCCCTGAACTATTGGAAAATATCATAACCTGTGTTCAAACTTATTACTGCCTTTACATACCTTGATATAGTTCCACTTGACAAAATTTCAATATATGGATTTCAGGTTCTTGGAGAAGGGGGAAAAAAGGGAAAACTTAACGTATCCATTTTTTTTTCTTGCAATTTACGTCTGGGACGAAATCGAAATTGCACAGGTCTGCGCGACTAAATCGAAATTGCAAAAATCCTTTCCCCCAGAGTATATTCTTTTGGAGAATACCAAAACGGTGATTCTGCTGGACTGCCCCCAACCATCGTTGAGTTTGAGCTCATGCACATTTACCTTTTCCACCACCACCACGCACCAGAGGGGAAAAAACAAAGGAAAATCTGGTCATTCATGTGTGCATCCAATTTCTCATTAAATGTATTTTTTCTGTATCGCGTGGTAGATGTGCTGTACTGAGCAGCAGATGTGAAATATTTATTGAAGAAATTTAGATTGTATATTTTTACATCAAAAATCTCATGGTTTCTTTTATGATCGAATTTGATCGAAATCCGTTCATCGCGCGGGAGAACAAACTTCAAAGTAACATACAGAATCGATGTCCAAAAGTAACTTATTCAACACCAGCAGAGCAAATAACGGAGGCTCAAGCTCTTAACTGAGAGCCACAGCAACGATGTCCTGATACAGCTTTTCTCTCTTCTCCCTCTCTCTTTCTATTTCATCTCTTATGGCCATTGTTTCCTCTACTCTGCCTTGATTCAACTTCTCTTTCAGAGTCCTCTCCAGTCCTTCAATTCTGTTATCTATGCTCTTGACCTATATTATATCCATCACAAGAAAATAATTACTATTATTGGTGTTATATATATAAATATATAGTTGTGGCCGAAGAATTTAGAAAGAGAGAGAGAGAGAGAGACCTTGCGATATGGCCATCGTACAATCTTATGCTTTCGACATTGTATTTTCAGCGTTGTAGGACATATGTTTAACCTTCGCGCTGCTTCTTCTGCTCTCACGTGAAAATGCGGTAAAAGATCCATAATAGTCATACCGGCAGTTCTTTCTCTCTGCCGAAAAATATGGAAATGAATAAACGAATTGAAAAAAAAAAAAAAACGAAACAAGAATGATTGAATTGGGCTATAGAAAGATTAGTTTCTTGGTACTATATATATGGTTGACTTTGGTTCTTTCTTATATCCGTGTTAACGGTGAATGACGGCAAGACTCTCTCTTCACCTTCGTGGATGTTTGAAAGCAGAAAGAATAAAAGATACCTGCTCACTGACACTCAGCCTACGAGGCCTTGGTGGAGGATTAGGACTGAGTGGACCGAGCGGTTCTGCGGCAACATTATCACTAGACTCTCCTGGACCTTCTACCCACGCTGAGAAAAATAATCAATATTATTTTTTCAAATAAACGCTTGATGTTTTGTTAACTTTATAAAATTTCAATGCATGAAAAGTTGCAGTGGTCAAGTCTAAATGAATTTAACCTTGATTGCCAATGGCTTGAGGGACTTGGTCCGGTCCCGCCCGGCCTCCTTCCCCATCGTTTCCTAATTAATTACAAAAAAATTAAAATAAGAGCGTCAAAATGGTCGAAAATGCGAAAAACTTCACAGTAAATAATATGTAGGATTTTTGTATAAATACAGAAAAAAACCGACCTTCATTCGAATTTTCTGGAGTGGATTCCCGATCATCGTCATTGTCGCCTCCGAGTAGTTTGTTATAAATCCTTATAAAAGAATCTTGCAGGACAAATGAACCATCTTGATTCATTTGTATTGCATAATTGGATAGATAAGCGTTCACCGATTCTACACTATGACCCTCAAACCTGCAAATAATGAGTTATAATCATGCAAATATTCAGAGATTTATGATTGACTTTTTAGTACCTTCTTATCAAATTAAACATTAGTGTACGTGCTTTGGCTTTCATGATCATAAATATGTGCATGTTTTACTACGACATGCGTTATTAATTTCAGTTTCTTAGAGATGGAAATGAATGATGATCAACGAAAACTATGTACTAATTCAATAACTAAAAAAAAATTGTGATTGCTCATTACTTTAAATAAAACGCTTCGGCTCCGTTGATAACCTCAGGATCTGTAGCCTCTGCATCAAATACGAGATGATCTATGTTCGTCCCCACTGCGTGGACAGTAAGCCTCATGTTGTAGAGTCCTTCACAAATTAATAAGAAAAAAAAAAATTCAAAAATCACCAAAAAAAAAACCTCAATCATTGGAGAGGGGGAAAAAAACCATGCATCCCTCTTCAAATTCTTAGTTACCAAAACATACCATTGGTATAATCAGACAACTGGCTAACGCAAATACACCGGCTGCAGTCCACATTTCCAGGTTGTACCAAAAGAAACCCCAACTCCTTTGTTCCGCTTGACGAAGGATTTCCCGTATGTAAACCCCCTCCTCCTCCTCTCGCTTCCTCAACCGTAACATCATTCTCATATTCACCATAATTAAAGAAATCGTCGAAATTGAAGTCACCCGATGAATCGTCGTAACCCAGAAAGTTATCGTCTTGTCTTATCGGAGGAGGCCATATGTTATCATGTCGAGTAAAATCCATAGGAGCGTTGAAGGGTAATGGTTCAGGGCAATAATCATCAAGATGCCGACGCAGATCAGCGTCAGGGTCATTGTTAAAAAGGTTTTTGGGACTATCCATAGATATTATATTATCTTATCTTTTATATATATTTATTTATTATATACAAATGTACGGCACCGACCGGCGAGGGTTACCGCCGGTCGAATGCCGGTGAAGGGATTGAAAGAGATTGCTAAGAATGATAAGGGGTGAGAGAGAGTAGAGAGAGAGAGAGAACAGGGGAGTTTATATAGGAAAAAAGGGGAAGGGGGTGATTTGCTACTGGTTTTTTTTTGAAAGTGGAGGGTAGTTATGAATTGGTTGCTTGTGACCGTTGGAGGCAACGTTTGGATTTTCTTTGTCCCTTTGGAAATTAAAGGATGCATGCGATTCGCTGGGGATGTTATGGGGTCGGTTCTATCTAGTTGGTTTGTACCCGACCCGGTGGAATAGGCAATAAGTTGGTTTCCAATCTCTAGGCATTAGCAGATATCTGATATGAAAGGAAAAATTTGCAAAATAGACCTATTTTGCTAAATATTTAGCAAAACAGACCGTTTTGCTAAATATTTAGCAAAATAGACATTTTTTTGGCCTGTTGACCAAAAAGATGTCGATTTTGTTAAACAGATCATTCGAAACATACGAGACTAGTAGTCTCGTATGATTTAATCCCCCATTAAATCATACGGGACTACTAGTCCTGTATGTTTCGAATGATCTATTTTGCAAAAAGAGGTATATTTTGCAAATTTCTTCGATATGAAATGTAAGCCTGAAATATTAAGTGGAATTCTAGCGTTACGAGTGTATCGTAAGTTTGTATCAATCTACCTAGTAAATCATCAACCTTATTCCATTATGTCGTCGACTAATCTTTCTGTAATCTGATATTCTACATTCAATATCTTATTTTGTGAATGTAGTGGGTTTATATCACATTAGACCTTGTACTACATGTTTCCTACTTGTAGTCCATGCCAACAGGTAGAATAAGTTTGGATCCTGTCAGAAAGCCACACCGCGTGAGTGAGTCGATCTGATCTACTCAGGGAGACAACGAAATGTCCGAACTACCCTCCCGCTTGACACACGTGCGGTTCAAAAGCGCCTGACACGGTGCAGAGCGTTCTGATAGGATCCACACTCTCAACAACAGAAAGAAAAATGGATTTGGATCCTCTCCACTACAAAAAAGTAGTGGAGAGACCACTACTTTTAATCTCAAGCATTGATTATTTAGTAGGCGGTTATGATACAATCTAAATCTAACACTTACCATACCCCTGTGTATTGCACTCATTCCTAATTTGCACTAAAAGAAAAAATCATAACCATCAACTAGATAATCAATGGCTATGATTATGTATTGGTCCCTCCACTATTTTTTTTATAGTGGAGAGGATCCGAATCCAAGAAAAACCCCAGGAAATATTTCATGTAAGCCCCTGTTGAAGGCCGTTAACGGCCACATTCACACATTAGCTTCTCTTCGAATCAGATTATTATACGTACAACACCTCCATAGTCTACCGCCATAACTTTAATTAATTCAAATCAACTTCTCTTCAATTAATTATATTATATACCAACTTAATTATCCCCATACCCCCTTAATTCCAAAAACTTTACATACCAAAATTAATTTAATTAGATCATATGGACACGCTATTAGGCACTCCTCTACAGGTAATCCCGGGCTCGGAGCTCGGCGCCATCAGTTCATACGGCAAAACCCCGGCCCCACACCTGTTCCTAAGCTCCGGATCCTTATTCCTCCTCCCAATCTCCTCCTCCGCCTTCTTAACCTCCGCCGCGAAGCAGCGGAACTTCTCCACCATCTCCTTGTCCCCCGTCCATGAGTACGCCTCCCGTCTCTCCCCGATGTACTCTCGTTCCGACGAGTGCGTCGACAACGTGTCGATCACCGTCATGACGTCGTAGTCTGCGTCAGAGCTCAGGCACGCGGCAGGTAAAACGCGTGCGGGTCGGAGGAAGTTCTCGAACTCAGGGATCGCCGAGGATGGGAGTAGCCGCCGACATCATGGCGGGCGGGTTGGGGATGTAGCCGCCGTTAGGGGTCTATTGAGCGAACGTGAGGCTGCGTGGCTTGGCGCAGGCGAGCGAGCGATTAGGGTTGTGAGGAATAGGAGCAAGCAGTCGGCGGATGTAGCAGCGGCGGCCACCGGAGGTCTTGTCGGGTGGCCACGTGATGGATTCGGCGTACCAGGATTGGAGCCGGATCCTGTTGAAGCTGGGAGGCGTCAAGGAGTAGGCCGGCGAGTAGGGTTGAGATCCAGGATCGATCGACCGACCAGTAGGAGGAGGCAATACGGCAGCCGTAAGGTAGTCTCAATGAGCAGTTTGAGGCGTGTGTCCTGTTGGAGTTTTCTACTGCATGCCCCTGGAATTGAACGGGGACGAAACGCGCAACAAATCAGTAACCACCACGCCATAGCTTCTATTGAATCACAATATCTATTATTCAAAGATTGTCGATGAGTCATTCGAGGTATTATCGCATACACTTCTGATAGATCAAGCCAGGAGAGCCCTGACTGTTTATCGAACGCAATATTTATTAAGCGGCACGCGTTATCTACATAAACATGATCCCGAGTGTGATCCGGACTCTACGATGCCGCGCCGCTGATGAGATTTGACGACGGCCAATGCGCATTATCTCAATGTGTATCTCATATGTGGCTTCAATAGCTTGAAGATCGGATGCATCACGCTCAACTGCCTGTGCGCTCCTATTATGAACGGCTCTAAACACGCATGCGTCTTCAACCTGAATCAAATCAACCGATCGCGTCAGTACGTACTCTCGTCTGACGACCATCGTGTTTCGTTTAAAAAAGATCAATAATAAACCAGCACGGCGAAAATTTAGTACCAGTGGTTGACGAGTTGGTGGACGCCTGCGTCGTTGGAGCAGACGTGAGCCTTGGCCATCTGCCAGAGCCAATTGTCGGTTGCGTTGCTGGGCGGAGTCGACGCTTGAACGATCGAACCCGTGCAGGACGCGGCCAGCGAGCTGAGCTCGATCGACATCGCGCTCAGGTGCGAGCAGGTAAGAAGAACAGTGTTCGGGTAGCGTAGGCCTTCCGACCATCCTGAGCGTTGATCCGGTCGATGAACGGGAGGTATGCGTCGTGGAAGTCCAACATGTACAACTTGTTCTCCTCCAACGCCTTCATAGTTTTAACGAGCTTTTTAGACCCGTGTTCTTAAACTAGAAACTGGAACCGTTAAAAATCGCGAGGGGTATTTCGGTCAATTTACCTGTTGAACCGACATTCCGTCGAGCTGCCCGATGATGTGCTCTTCTTTGATGGCGGATTCGGGAGGGCCGTAGGTTTCCGGGTCGAGCTTGCTCACCGGTGGGAAGACCTGAAAGGACAGAAGTACCCCCACAATTTAGAAGGGTATTCATATGACGAAAGTGACCTCCCTCGATGGTGTAAGAGAAATTACCTGAAGTCTTTCAATGTCGACAGGGTTAATCCCCGCTAGAGCCTGCCGGGCGAATTCGTCATCCCTCAGCCAAGCAAACTTGTCCTCTGTTGTAAATAAAACAAAAACAAAGGGGGTGCTTAAATAAAATATGCAGGACCGGTAGAACATTTAATTGTCTCTACGGATGTCGTTTATAGTGAAAATACAGCACGTGTATCTTGCTCTAAACATGCTACTTTATGTGAGTGCCGAGGTAGGCCCCCTAAGCAATTGATAGTGGGGAGTATCATATTTATGTGAGTGCCAAGGTAGGCCCCTCTAAACATGCACGATGTTAAATACTGAACATATATAGAGGCAAGTTTTATTGTACTTACTGCTAATGATGTGGGGAGTATCATATTTAAGTATCCCCTCGCTAGATTCTTGGATGTCACTAACAAAGGGTATCTTCTTCCAAATGTGATCTTGCAACCCTTGCTTCAACCGGATCCCCTCTTTGAAGAGGTTGTCGATATCGTGGAAGCCGCCGAAGTCATGGCTCTCCGGTGAAATAGATGCAACGACTTGAGGGACGATGTTGTGGAGTATTGCTTTCAGCGCTCCGGCTGAGAGCATATCTTCTTTCCCCTCTTCAAACTGTTCGTCTCTGGGGACGTAGATTGGATGTGGGTACTCTACCCTGCTTTCTGTTGTCGGGTCTGTTAAAAACACGTCAATCAATAATCAGAAGATGAGAATTTATTAATGAAATATAATGATCATATTTCATCCGTGATAAATTAAAAATATATATAAACCAGGAAAATGTTGAAGGCATTAAGTTTTTCAAAATTGGTCCAAATATAAGCACTATTCACTTAACATCTAATTAAGGTATTTGCTCTTTTACCCTTTTTTTAGCTTCTATTTTAGCCTATAATTCCTAGAGATTCTCTAGAAACCAACATGATATAGCTAAATGGTCAAAAGACTTTTGAGTACCTGGTTCCTGGAATTTTCTAGTTCAAAGCATATAAAGCTGTCTTCGCTAGCTACGTGTTTCTTGTCTTCTTTAACTTGGACGCAGCAACACTTTGATAATGACTTTTCTTGTCTAATTAATTGATGAAGAGATCTAACTTGGAGGAAGCATTAAATAATTTCGAAGTCAAATCTCTTTTGAACCGTATGAAATTAGGGAGTTGCTACAGGCACCCTCGGGCACACCTCCGTCCACCCCCAGCTACAGTGCAGAGGTCCCACTTGAGATTTTTAAAAAAAAAATCTCAAGTGGGCCCCCTACACTGTAGCTAAGAGGTGGGTGGGTGGGGGGTGCCTGTATCATTTTTCATGAAATTAATACCCTAAGCCACCTATTTTCTTTCTTTTCCTTAATTTGAAAGTACACAATTTCAAGTAATATATTTCTACTCGTCAAACACAGTATAGCATTTGAAAATTTTAACTAGTGTATGTATATGGCCAGTACAAATACGACATACCCGTATTCGCAGGCGGTCGTCCGGTTCGACACCGCCGTGGATACGGTATCTTCTCTCCTCCCAGTGTCGGTCGAGAGAATTCAAATCCTTTATCAGGATATCCCAAGTCGTTATAGGTCGCGTAGTCGTAGATCCTATCTGAGATCCTCCTCTCGCCTTTCCCGTCGCCTCTCAGCTCCTTCAGTTCCCTCTTCCTCAACTCCTTCAAACCTGGAGGAGTTTCAGAGGGCAAATACGGCTGCCAAAAAAAAAATACAAATTATTTTTTCAATAAGAATCACGGATACAAAGCCAGTAGGCCAATTAAAAAATAAAATAAAATAAATAAAAAATACCTTGTTACAAAAGAAAACTCTTTTGTCAGGGTTAAGCCTGGAGGGCTGGACCCAAGAGTTGCAAGTGAAGTGAACCGGAGCACGAGCGAAACCTTCGACCAAAATGCTCTCCAAATAGAACTCCTTGTGGTGCTTGTTCATCACCGTGATTGCTCCTGGCTCGCCGAACGCAGAGTCAACCACGAACTCCGCGGTATACACGACTTTCTGATCTTTGACTTTCTTCTTCTCGAACCAGCCTCGTAACGCAGCTTTACCGCTCGTTTTCGCTCTTTTCGTCCCTATATACATACATACATTTATTAATAAAAAAAAAAATAAAAAAGTCAATTATTTTCTCAAAAAAATGAGGAAAGTCAAAACAAATTATTCAAAATGGAATGTTGTAGCATTTGTTTGAATTTTTTTTGTGAACAGTTTACATATTAATTTGAACAAGCAAGTTTGGTCAAACACTATGTAAGTCCTAACAAGGAAGAAACTAAGCAATCCCATGACTTTGACCGAGTAAACAAGACTATTCGATCAAGACAGATCCACATATTGGGAGAATTAGGTGACATATCGATGTCCTTGAATTGAATGTCAAAGTGCTAGCTTAGTCACCAACACAGACTAGGGGCGTGTCGGTCGAAACCATGTTATTAGAAATGTATATATAAATATATGCTACGTACCTTAATCCTCAAAAAAATTAATTGAAAAAAGTGCCGGGAATTAATGAGGAATCAAAAGACAAGAACCCATATATTGAATATTTCTGAATAATGATTATAATAACATGGGGTGTCCATTCTAAACTTAGCATTGGGTACAAGTAACTAAAAGGTATTTTTTACGTGTAAAACTTTGTTACTTGGGCTTAAAAAG